GGGGGGGGGGGGGGGGGGGGGGTATTAAAATCAAGACCAACATTTGTACCTTTTGTATCATGTTATTGTTTAAAGTAAAAAAAAAAGTTAAAAATTAAGAAAAAAGAATGTGAGACTTATGACACCAGAGTCTATTATCAAGAGCAACTGATATCCCCCAGTGAATCTTGTGAATGAATTTAACGCCGGTACAAGGGTCAACTCCCTTCCACAGTGCTGAGGATCTCCTTTGCAGGAGATGGCAAAGTTCAGGTCAAGTTTACTGAAAGGCGAGAGTGTCCTTGTCCATCAAGTGACACCCGCTCTCTTTTTTCCTCTTAAGACTCAGGCACGTTTTTCAAGCGTCGTCTGGTTTCTCGGTGACCAGATGTGGTGGCATCGTGAAAGGAATGTGAAACACTAGGACCCGGCATGCGTCGAAGACACAGGGCTTTTGGCCCCATTAGACTTCACTGAAACCCTCGAAATACAATATACGACTATTGTGAACTTAGCACCCCGTGACACGGGCAAAAAAAAGAAGCCGCAGGCGAACTGCACGGCTCTTCTGGATAAAGTTCAGGGCTTTTAGCTGTGTTCTTGACATCGTGTTTGTTTTCAAAGCCTGCTGCTTTACAGGCCGAAGAAGACTCCAGGAGTGATTTCGTCAGACCCCGGCTCTCCTGGTGGGCACACCTGCTAAGGGTTTGTGGTCAAGCCGGTGACCTGACCGCGCTTCGCCCCGTGGGCGCGTGTTTTGGGGGCGGAGGGCAGTGCCCTGCTCCACACAGCAAAAGCAGGCACGGTCTGCTACCATGATCACTATCTGCCCAGCTAATTATTCTTATTATTATACCCTGTGATTGACTGGCTTCTCGTTCAGGGCGTACGACAGCCTAATGCCCTGCACTGCCTGGGGTACGCTACAACCCAGCTAACGGGGAACGTTCCCGGAACTTTAGCCAACGTTACGTGAAAGTCTTCTCAAGGTTGGCCGAGAACGTTCTAACTGTAACGTTAATGAGACGTTTTTTCTACGTTTTACATTTTAACAAAGGTTCGATAAAATTAATACCTGAACTTCATTTTAGCACAATTACTGTTGAAAAATATTGCTTTGTAATAAAATATCATTTTATAGAAGTGCTATAGGTGAATGCTGTATCCTCAAACCCTTGACCTTTGAGGTGTAAAGCAACGATGTTACGTCTGTCCTACCAAGCCCTTCATTGGTTTATATATATGATGACATCAGTTTTGGTTTGCATCTACAGGTAGCTATGTATGATGTAATTAAGAACAGTATGTCAGTATTGGTAGTACAACAATACTAAAAGTAAAACAATACTAACAATACTGCTGAGTCAGGGGCAGTGTGACTACAGGTGGATTGGGTTCATTTTCTTAATATAAATCGTTAGTATCCCCCTAAATATCTACAGTATGCTAATGAAACTGTCCACACATCTGGTTAAACCACTAGATTTCCTTCTGGAAAAGGCACTTAATTTAGAGCAGATTCCACGCTTCGTTTTCCAGGGAGTATTTAATTAAAAGCAGTGGTTATCTCAGGGCTGCACGCTGGGGAACATCGGCATACTTCTTGGCAAACACAGCATCCCCGCGGTCCAAGATGCACGTGAACGTGAAAGTGATGCAGATATGCAGCCAGAGATCACGGCGATAAGTAAGGCCATGTTTCTGAATAATGCCCCGTGCCGTTTCGCTGCTGTGGTACTTCAATGTGAGACGCTCCCATATGTAAGGATTTATACAGCTTTCTACTTGAAGGCAAAGTCTGATAACAGAAGCACAGGCAAAGTGGTGAAAGTGCGTGAACCCTTTAGGATGAGCCGGGTACTTGCTTGCAAAATCTGCTCTAATGTTCATCTAAGTCCCAATGATACGTAAAGTAAGATAAGACATACACTACCAGTCAACATTTTTTTGCACACACTGAGGTTTTCTACATTTTTACATGTTACTTACTTAACAGTTACTAAAAATACACTCAATATTCTTTGCTAACACATAAATTTACATGATGTTCACCATTTGAGTACCTTTATTAGCAAGAAAACGTGATATCTGATTCCTCAAAGTAAAGCAAAGTTAAAGGACAGCCTAGAATTTGACCATATCATCACCATACAACCAGTTAATAGGATGTCAGACATGCCCTGTTACTTACTCTTTGCATGTTATAAAAGAAACTTGTTTTATTTGCTTTTTATTCATTTATAGTTGCTGACTCAACTGTCCAATGCTTAACAAGAATTTTAAAAACCTGCAGTTTTTGAAATAGATGGAAAAGTGGTAAATAGCTGTGGGGTGTGAAAACGTTTGACTGGTAACGTACAAACACGTTGACCCCTCATTGGCTGTCTCTTGAAAACCATCCGTGAACTTTTAGCAGTAGTGTTACCCACTTCAGCAGCAATGATTTTCAGTTTCAAACTCATTAATCCTGGATTAATTTCAGGATGAGGTTTTTACACTGGAATGCACTATTTTGTTTTCACTAAACATAACATTTCTCTTTCGTGCCAAATAAACTCATCCGATCCAGCATACAGTACATCTGGATAATCCAGGTGTCCTTCAACAAGCTGAAGGCGTGGAGTAATGTTGTTTTTGGAGAGCAACCTTACTCAAAAGCATATCCCGCTTGTTTATGGTGGACACATTAATGTCAACCAAAGCAAGAGAGTTCTATATGGTGGTAGCTTGGTTGTAACATCGGAATTTCCGTCTTGGATTCATTTTTGCCGGGCAGCCAACAAACCGGCAATAATGACACTAATTTCTACGTCTGCACATGTGACTACCGGTCTACAGAATGATGGTGGCCACGGTGTTTATAGATTATTTTGTAAACTTTCCAGGTTCATAAGCATCAACTCTTCTTTACATTCGAAACATGTTTCATTGCCAGAAATGTGTCATGACGAGCAGACTGCCCAGCAGATCAGTGTCACTCAATCTCACACTTCTCTTATTGTTGGAAATATCTGACCTTTTAATAGGGCAACTGGCCCTGAGGGTTTTTGTCCTACCAAGCCCTTCATTTTTCGTTTGGGGTTATTTTTTATTCTATTTTCAGTTCTGTTGTTGAGTTTCAGATGAAGATCAGAATACAACCTATTTATAAGTAATTCTGGAATACATATTATTCACAGACTTGGTCAATGTACATATATGTAACTGAAAAATTCTTTCCTTGCTAAGTATATCATTAAATAACTGGATTAACACACTTTCTTGTCAATATCTTTATGCATGAAAATATTACTGTACATGTCTTCCTGACATGGATTTATAATTTCTATCTAGCATGCATTGTATTGTTTAAACCTTCTTAATGCATGATGGATGACTATTCTCTGGTGGTCTGCTTTGGTGGTTGTGGGGGGGGGGGATGTCAGGTATGTGAGGTGCAGCTGCTTTTCCTGAACAATGGACTCCCAGTTCTACACTGGTTTAGTTCCCCTTTTACTTCAGCCCTGTAAATTGCCTTATCAGGTCTATTCTTATACGCCTGGCCAGAACTGGGTCTGCCTTATCTCCGCAGACAGCAGGAGGAATTGCCCCTGAGTGGACTGTGTACAGGAGTTCCGGCACCATTCCGCCCATTCAGAACGTCTCCCACATCTGCAGGGGCACCTTGAGCTCCA